TCTATATGCAGAATAAAAATATCATATTAATGAAAATCGATTTCATTTAAAAATGAACATCACATAACTTCAAAAAACTGATTTTTCTCATAAATTAATTTTATCATTATTTGTCCCGATTCCAAACCATACAACTTTTGTTTAATATATTTTCTATATCTTGTATTATTTTTCGTGATATTTGCTTTGAGACAATTAAAACGATATACTTTATATAGGTATACATAATGAATGTATGTAATTGTTTTAGTTTACGCTACGTTAAGTATGGTACATTTAGTTCAATATAATCATGCAGTTATAAATGTATATAAATGTGTATAAGGTAACAGATATAAGAGCGTTAATGATAGAATAGTTACAGGATATAAAATAGGTGTCAAAATATGCTCGCTTTAAACTAAAATCACATGATTTTAATAGTTCTTACAATAATAATAGAACGTTATTGATATTTTAAGATAAAAGATAAAATAGATTCAGATAAGGTTGGAAACTTATGGTATATACTTATAACATTTCTCCTTTAAAATAAACAATCCTCCTTTAAAATACAGCAATCTACTAATTAATTATTATCAATTGTGTTGTATATAAATCCAAAGTTATAAAAATTAGATCGAATTAAAACAATCATACATATATGTGTCACTAACATAACTTGAATTTTTCGAACATGCAAAATATTTATTGATGTGCGATATTTAATCAGCAAAAATGAAAAAGGAAGATTTTTATTTTATGTTATCATAAAATTCGAGCTTCTTTTTCTTGTTCTTATATCTAAATCTAGATGTTTCAGTTCAATTATTAACCTTGCCATCATAAATGATCCTACTTGCATTCAGAAACCGCGAACTTTGCCCTTTCATTTCCTCGATTACACAATCCTCTGGTCTGAACTGGCCGATGCTTTATGACCGTAGCTTCATTTGCGAGAGCTGCAAGATATACGAGAAAGGCAAAGAGCAAAGAGCCGAGCGTGAATGCAGCATCTACGTGTTCAAGTGCTTTTCCAGTTTTGCGCGCTTACATCAAGAGCATGATAATAGAATTTGATAATAGAACGCTCTCAAAGCATATTGATACGGGAATATCACTGTCACTTCCTAATAGTTAGATTTTGGAGAATTTAATCTATTATATATTTTTACAAGCATATACTATATATATATTAGTCTATTATTATAATATTATTCTATTATATCTAATATATCAAACATGAGGTAAAAAAGAAA